TGAGCGCCACCTCCAGCTCCCTCCTGTCGCCCTCGGCGCGCTGCAGCCACCCGGCCAGGCTCTCCTGGCGCTGCTCAGCCTCGGCCAACCGCCGCCTAAGTTCTTCGATCTCAGGCGCTGAGTCTGGGGACCACTCTGTTGCGTTCACCTGCTCGGGCTCAGGGCAGCGGGTACCCCGGGCCGTCGAGGCCGCCAGGTTCCAAGCCACCAGGGCCCCTCCGGCCGCGGCAGCCGCCAGAAACACCGCAGCCCCGCACAGGGCCAGCAGCCGCCAAGCGCGCCCCGGCTCCGGGCCCGGCTCTGCCATCCCGCCGTGGCTCTGACCCCAGACGGGCCACTAGCATTTAATTGGCACCCTGGGATTCCGGGGACACCCACGGTCACGCTCCACCCCACCTGGCAGTGGCTTCCCAAGGGATGGGGAGGGGTGCACAGGAATTCCTCTGGGGCCAGTCAGCTCTGAGCGCTCTAGGAAGAAACTGGGGGCACTTTCACCAGACCCTTCTGAGCCTCAGTTTCGCCCTGAACTCAGTGACTGGTGAGCCCTTTCTGTTGATGGGGAAACTGAGGCTAGAAGATGGGAGGGTAGACGCGAGTGGGCCCTGCAAGGTCTCCACGCTGCCTGTGCTCACGCGTGTGGGCAATCTTTCCATGAGACTGGGATTCCAGATCCTTATAAAAAGTTTTTCCTTGATTTTTTATTACATTTTATTTATTTTGTGTGTGCGCGGGAGGAAACTAGGGTCTCTCCAGGTCACAGGACAGCATGTCTCCCTGGCGTGTAGGTCCGGGACACAAAGGTCGTCAGACACCCAGGTTCCTGCCTGCATTTTACAGGAGTCTCCGTCCCCGGCTGCCTCCCACATTCCATCTGAGCCTCTAACAAGCAAAGTCTCCCGTTTTGTTTCATCCTCTACCCTGTGATCACACAGGCCGGGCACACAGTTGGTGCACACGCAGGACGAGCTGAGGATCACTCTTGGTGTGTGTGCCCTCAGTCAGTGCATGAAATTGAAGCTGTTTACAGTTTACAGTTGCACACACCCTCAGCCCAAAGAGGGTAGAGGTGGGTGGAGTGAGAGGCTAGCCTGGACTGTGGGTGACACCCGGGGTTTAACCCTAATTAGAATATAAATAGAATACATTTAAAACCAACTGAACTCAAAGGCTTTAAGCCAAGGTTGGTGGCACGTGCTTCTTATCCCAGCACTCAGAGGCAGAGGCAGGTGGATCACTATGAGTTTGAGGCCAGCCTGGTCTGAAAACAACAACAAGAAAAAGATATTAAATTACAGCCTGGTGGTGGTGGTGCACACCTTTAATCCCAGCACTGGGGAAGCAGAGGCATGCTGATCTCTATGAGTTCGAGGACAAAAAAGCTATTAAGTTATATAGAAACGAAATTAAACCAGAAGACTCTGCCCCAGACCCAACTCAAATCGCTTCTCATCAGGCAGCCCCAGCACCTTCACCTGGATGGCTAGGCAGGTCAGGGCGCAGCAGGATTCTCAAGAAGTGGGAAGGGCTGGAGAGATGGCTCAGTGGTTAAGAGCATTGACTGTTCTTCCAGAGAGCCTGAGTTCAACTCCCAGCAACCACATGGTGGCTCACAACCATCTGTAATGAGATCTGGCGCCCTCTTCTGGCCTGCAGGCATACAGGGAAGAAGAATGTTGTATACATAATAAATAAATAAAAAAAAAGAAGTAGGAAGTGCCGAATTCTCCAATGACAGCAAATGCAAGACACCTGCAGACAGAGCAGTGAGGAAGGCCACCACTCCACAGCTCAGGAGCACGTGGGCGTGGGCATGACTGCCCCTGCTTGGCGGCCTCCAGTCCAGTCAGTGACAGTCTTGGCTCTGTCTCCTCTGCCTGGGTTGAACAAATCTTCACATCCCAGCAACAACGCTGAGAGTCAGAGAGAAAGAACGGCGAGGAAGATTAAAGAGGGAACAAGGAAATTTTCACAGAAAACACCCAGGAAGGAGACAGCAGGCTGCGTCCATGTGTTAGGTACAAAGCAGGGACCCAGGTAAATGTCTGATAGTGAGGACAGTCGGTCCCCCCTGAACCTCCACCCTGTGAGTGTCTGTCAGTGAGGACAGTCGGTCCCCCCTGAACCTCCACCCTGTGAAGCCTGATCTCCCACTTCTACCGTTCCAAAATCCACCCAAGAAATCTATGGTGTAAGGTGGGGGGGGGGTGACCCATCCAGTAAAGATAATGCCCCTTTCCACCCCGTCTCCTAAAGACAAAGTCACCAGCAGACAAGCAAGCTGGGACTGTACTTTGCAAACAGGGACAGCGGAACCCATGAAGCCATGTGGGGCATCCATTGGAGGACAGGCCTCTATCCAAGACCACCAGAGAAGGGCTAGACCTAAATGCCCTCAGTGAGGGACCAGTGGCCAGCCCAGGGGTGGAGCACGGCTTAGGGTCCTCCAGTGAGGTGCTGGGGCATGGCCTGGGGTCAGGTCTTGGGTTCACTTCCCAGAACACACATACACACACACAAAGCAGCAGGATTGAATGAGAACTTGGGCCTGAGGGTTTAGAAGAGTCTTCACAATAAGCCCGTGTAAAACTTTAAGGCAATTCTGAAGCCATTTCTGACAATTCTGAAGCCTTTCAACCTCCTTAGTGCCTTGGTGCTTCCCCTCCTTCCCTGGGAACCAAGAACCTAACAGCTACACATGCACTTATGTTCTCCAGAAATTGGGGCAAGGTAACCTTTAATATGTTGACTCAGTTCCTAAACAATTACCCATACTCGTATGTTTTGATTCAGTCCCCTGGGAAACAGGGTCAAAATGACCTCTTACCTCATCTGATTTGGCAACAGCTCTCCAGCCAATTATTGGTAATAGCCCTTTCGAATAAGCCAATCATAATAGTCAAAGAACAAGCCCCCTTGCTTCTGTGGCCTTCTCCTTTAAAAGTAGCCTGTGCCAGCTATTCGAGGTCCCCTCGGCTTCCCGAATGCTGAGGGACCCTGTCATGACAGAATTAATAAAATCCTCATGCTTTTACAACAGCTATGGTGTGAGGGATGGTCTCTGGGGGTGACTCCTCCTCGGTGTTTGGATTCTAGAGTCCAACACCCGACGCCGGAAACAGCTTGGCTTGAAAACAGTTTTGTACCAAGACAATGATGTGAGGTACCCACAAAGGGATTTATGGGTGCCTGGGAGGGGGCATCTGGGGTCCCCAGGGAAGCACTGTCTCCAGTGGGTACTGTGGGGTCAAGGGAACAAAACTGTGAACCTTAGTGTCAGGAAATGGAAAGAACAATCAGTCAGCTCCAGGAGGAAGAGGAGGAAGGAAGTTAACAGAGGAAAGCAGTGAGATCCTGGAGAGGGAGTGGGCACCAGAGCAGGACTGCAGGATTGCGAGGAATCTGGGAGGTGGAAAATGGGCTCTTAAGTGGTCAGGCAGTGGAGGTGCACACCTCTAACCCCCCCCCCCCCCCCCCCCCCGTACTCCGGAGGCAGAGGCAGGCAGATCCCTGTGAGTTCGAGGCCAGCCTGGTTTACAGAGCAGAGTTCCAGTAACTGACTCCATAGCTCCTGAGAAACCCTATCTTGAAAAACAAAAACACGTAAAACAAAACAAGAAGGAGGAGGAAGAGGAGGAGAAGGCTTAACTGACTTGGGCAATGGTGGTGCCCTCCTTTAATCCCAGCACTGGGGAGGCAAAGGCTGGAGGATCTCTGTGAGTTCGAGACCAGCCTGGTCTGTAGAGGGAGTTCCAGGACAGCTGGGGCCACACAGAGAAACCCTGCCTCGAAAAACCTACAAAACAAAACTTTTGACAATTTGTAGAAAATAAGGGAAATGCTGGTGCTGGTTGGTGTCTCCAGGCTTCTCTGTGTAAACTGACACAGGGTTGGAGACACCGCTAGTTTAACTGGGCCCCAAGGTAGCAGAGGCCAGGTGACTTCAGGGTGACTGTAGTTATCACAAAGGGCAGCATAGACAAAGCAATGTCCATCATGTCCAGACCCACAGTGAGCGGCACAGACAAGGTGAGTTTTATGGCTGCACTACTCATATGGACCTTTAGTACTGGCTATGTGGTGCTCCAGGCATGAATGGGTAAGAAGCCTACTGAACTTCTGTTCCGTTTGTATAAGCAGAAAAATTCTCAAACAAATGAAAGAAAGGCTCCTGTTGGTAGACAGCCATTGTTGGACTTGCTGGACCACTCTGTGAGCCCCATCCACCTACCTACCTGCCTGCCTGCCCGCCATCTCTCTCCGTTCTATCAGTCCTGCTGCTGTGAAGGCTAGCATGAATCCCTGCCCAGAACTGGGGAGACAGACGAGCATGGTGGAGTCATTCTGGCCTCAGCCTCTTCTCCCCTGAGTGTCGGCCACCCTCTGCACCCACTGACCAAGGCCATGTTCAGGATGGAGAAACAGGGGACGTAGGGACACTAGCAATTTAGAAGCAAACTCTTTCTTTCCAAATTACTTTATTTTTCAAAGCTTAAAGACGTCAGAAATAAGTGAACCCCTGCCCCAATAACCATAAAAGCAAAAATAGAGGTGCCCCTTCCACTCTCCCAGTCGTAAGGAAGGAGGGAGGGAGGTGCAATCTAGGCTCCACTCAGTGGCTTCGACATCCTTGGGGCTGCCATGACCTCCAGAGCCACCAGGACTCCCAATGACCTCAAACAGGTGCAACCGCATCTTCGTCAAAACGGGCTGTGGCCTAAAGAACGGGAAAGACTCAGCTGTTGATGGACACTCCGCCCCTTCCACCACGGGACCACGCCCTCCTCCCTGAGTGGGCTCCTCACAACCTCCCCTGGACCCAGTCCTCACCTGCCAGCTATTGTGTCCTCAGAAAAGCAGGAACACTGGCACTACGAACATCAAAAGGCTGGAGACCACCATGGAGCTGGCAGAGTTCTGTGCTGTGCTAGAAGCTTCCTCCTTGGTCCTGCGTGGAGAGGGATGACTCAGGCAGAGGTCACCTGATGATGTTTCCTTCGCTCGCTTTTTTTTTTTTCTTAATTTTTTTTTTCAAGACAGGGTTTCTCTGTCAAAAAGTCCTGCTGTCCTGGAATTCACTTTGTAGATTAAGCTGGGCTCAACCTCATAGAGATCTGCCTGCCTCTGCCTCCTGGGTGCTGGGATTAAAGGTGTACGCCACCTCTCAGCCATCAGCTTCCTTTTTAAGTATTTCTGTGCTGGGATGGAACTGGGGCGGATTCTAGGCAGAGGCTCCACCCCGGAGCCAAGTCCCCAGCCCCTCACTGGGGATCCTAGGCAGGGGTCCACCCTGAGCCACGCCTCCAGCCCCTCACTGTGGGAGTCTACTCAGGGCTCCAGCGGGTTCTCAGCCCTGTTCTTAGTATTTCAAATTCACATTTTCTTTCCTTAGATTTTATTTTTATTCCTTTTAAATTGTATTATAGTTTACTTAGTGTGTGTACATGTGCATTATGATGTGTATGCACGAGTACTCATTAACAGTGGTGCGGGTGGAGTCAGAGGCATATATTCAAACTGAGGTTGTGTATGTGTGCGTGCTTGTGTGTGTGTGTGTGTGTGTGAATGTAGTGTCCTCAGAGTCCAGAGGCACAGAGCTCATGGAGCTGGAGTTATGAACAGTTGTGAGCTACCCAATGCCCTGGATGCCGGCAGGTCCTCTTCAAGGGCAGCCAATGCCTCAGCACTGAGATTTCTGTCCGGGAGATCCCGCAGTTGCTCAGGTTGAGCAGGACTCAGGCTCCTCTTTCCTCCTCTCCTAGATCTCAGGTTTCTAGGCAACCCCACGCACCACATCGCTGAGGGAGCGGGCTGGGATTGGTCACCTACGGCTGTGGCTCTTGGGATATGTTTTTCTTCTGAAGCTTTTTGTTTTGTTTTCCCAGACAGGGTTTCTCTATGTAGTCCTGGCTGGCCTAGAACTCGCGGAGCTCCACCAGCTTCTGCCTCTGGAGTACGGGATTAAAGGCATGTGCCATGTGCCTGGCTCCATCTTATTTTTATGAATTGTATTGTTATTGGCATTACTACTTTGACAGTGAACTTCGGGACTTTACTGTGCAACAGGGAAGGCTACAATTTTGTCTACATACCTCTTCCTTAATTTTTGAGACAGGGTCTCTCCCTGGACACGAAGCTTACTTACTACCTGGGCTGGCCAGTGAGCCCGCTCCCCAGTACCAGAGTTACGGACATACTACAGCCAGTTTCTAAGCGGGCGCTGGGGATTTGAACTCAGGGCCTTGAGCTAATGTGTCACAAGCTCTCCTCACTAGCCTTCTTCAAAGCTGAGCTGTGGATTGTGTGAGCCAAGTGGGTCCGGGTCTTGAGGAAGGAAGTAGAGAGTGGCAGGGGAGGAGATGGGGAGAGCAAGGGAGGGAGGGAGAGCAAGGGAGGGAGGGAGGGCAGGGGAGGAGATGGGGAGGGCAAGGGAGCTGTTTCTAACCTCAGTGTCGCCAGCTCCTGGTTCAGCTTCATGATCATGCCTGCAAAGATAGAGGGCCCAATCAGCACAGGCCACATGGGAGAACACCCCAAAGTAACACCTGGAAGCCATCTAACACCAAGGCCAGCAGTGGGGGCTGGGGGGGGGTGTGTGAAGGGAGAGGGAGACCAAATGAAGGGCCAGCCTGAGGTCCTTCTACAGCTGTCATCCCAGCTTTGCAGCCCCCACCCCCCTAACAGGGCGTTGCTAACCTGCCCTCTGCTCCCATAAACACCCATTTCCACTCCTGAAGCTCTGGGAAAAACCAGATTCCTGAGCAGCTTCCCTCACTCTGGGCCACCACGTCCCCCCAAATCCTGCCCTGGAGGCCTGCCCTGTTCCCTCTTAGCCCCTTCCAATCCCCCACCCCTTTTCCTGGTCTCAGCATTCCTCACCCCACCCCTTCCCCTGCACTCCCCCACCCCACCCCTTCTCACTCTCAAGCTCCTGAATGTGGGCCTGCTGCTCCTGGATTTGGGCCTGCTGCTCCTGGATTTGGGCCTGCTGCTCCTGGATTTGGGCCTGCTGCTCCAGGACCTGGGACTCCTTCTTCTTCAGGGAATCCTGAAGGGTCACCTGAGTCAGAAAAGCAGCAGAAACACAGATTGGCTGTTTGTTGTCCTGGTCCCTAGAAACTTTCCAGGCCAAGTCTTCAGAGGTCCTTTTACCCAAACAAAGGTCCTTTCAGGTTCCTCTCCAGCCCCCTCGATAGCCCCCCAGTCCTAACAAAAAACGTGCCATCTCCAAAATGGCAGGGTATTTTGTTGTTTTTTCCTTCTGGACAGGGTTTCTCTGTGTAACAGTCCTAGCTGTACTGGAACTCACCCTGTAGACCAGGCTGGTCTCGAACTCACAAAGGCTTGCCTCTGCCTCCGGAGTGCTGGGATTAAAGGCGTGCGCCATCAACTCCTTGCTCCAAAATAGCAGTTTTAAGCCCACCCCCACCCCCCGCCACGGGAATTTGAAAGCTCTTCATGACTAAACCCTACTAGAAAGTTCCAGATATTCTGAGGCTCACACTGATTTAGCAAATCCTTCCCAAACACAACAACGGAGCTTCCCAGCCAAGGTCTCTAAAAGACACATTCAAAATTTCAAAAATTTGCTGGTGGTGGCGCACACCTTTAGTCCCAGTACTTGGAAGGCAGAGGCGGTGGATTTCTTGCATTCAAGGGCAGCCTGGTCTGCAGGGTGACTTTCAGGACAGCCTGAGCTATGCAGCGAGACTCCGTCTCAAAAAATAAAAAAGTTTCAATCATCAGGGCTGAGTGGAGTCCAGGAGAAGCTCCTGTGCTGGTCCTCTAAGTCAGTTTCAAGCTCTTCAACTTCAGCACCCTCCACAAATTTGGAGATCCCCTCCGAGTCCTGGAAGGGAGGATACTGAGGACCCTGATTTCGGAGCTGTGGAAGTTTTAAGGTCTCCCTGGATTTCAAGGTTCTCAGTCCCTGGCGTGCCGGCGTGGGAGTGGGACTTGCTTGGCAGTTTCAAAGTCGCCTCCCCAGTCACTCGGGGCTTTGGAGGGGACGGTTTCCAGTCTTACCACGGTCCGGTTTGCCTGCGTCTCTGCCTGCCGCAGGTTCTCCTGGGCACGGGTGAGCTGGCGCTGCAGAAGGTGCGTGGTGTTACGGCACTCATCCCAAACCCGCAGCCCGTCCCTGCAGGCCTCGCTGTTTGCCCTGACGGCGAAGTGGATGAGCGAGATGACCAAGCCCACAACGATCAGTAACATCAGGACCGCGGCCACCAGACACCGCCGGCTGATGCCCGGTCCCTGCTCCCCCCACGTCTTCTCCATGGGCACCGGAAGATAGTGGTAGAAAGTCGGTGCCATGTGGTTTTGTTCCTCTAGCTCGAAGCTTCGCTGGCGCTGGAACCCTCTCCGGGCCACGCCCCTCCTTAGCATAGGTCCCGCTTCTAACCAATAGCAATTTCCAGCGTTCTTAGGGGCAGTCCCTGGAGCACAGCCTGCTAGTGTCCTGGGAAAGGCAGCCTTTCGGTTTCTTTTTCCTGGAAAGGGGGGCATTCCTCTTGGCCTTGTGAGTGAAGGCTTGCTGCGGAATCCCCCTGGAAGAAAAAGAAACTTCTGGAATTCAACTCAAATTCTTGGCCCTCTGCCACACCAACCCCAGTGTCGTCTGTGTGACATGACATATGTCATTATACCATACTGGAGCTAGGTGTCCCATGGGACTAGGCTTCCTGGAGGTCAATGGCAGATAGCCTCGTATTGGCCGCCCTTGGGGCACAGACGGGATTCTCGAGTAGCTGGCTATATGGAATATGAGCTTTGCACATTTCTTTCATAATAATGATAGTCTTTATATATACAAGACAAGGATCATTCTCTTCAGGAACAGCTCTGGGACAGTATGGGAATGTATAAGACTACAGCAGAACCTTTGTCAAACACAGAGTGTATGATGAGCAAGAGAATAGATGGGTTAATGTTGATGGACAAAGACTGTTATACTTTTTTTAAAAAAATATTTATTTATTATGTATACAATATTCTCTCTGTGTGTGTGCCTGCTGGCCAGAAGAGGGCACCAGACCCCACTACAGATGGTTGTGAGCCACCATGTGGTTGCTGGGAATTGAACTCAGGACCCCTGGCAGAGCAGGCAATTCTCTTAACCTCTGAGCCATCTCTCCAGCCCCTATACTTTGTTTTTGTTTTTTTTTAAATATTTATTTATTATTTATTATGTATACAATATTCTGTCTGTGTGTATGCTTGCAGGCCAGAAGAGGGCACCAGACCCCATTACAGATGGTTGTGAGCCACCATGGGGTTGCTGGGAATTGAACTCAGGACCTCTAGAAG